TCCAAAAATGTTAGGCTTATACTCTATTCTTTCAAGATTCTTGTTGAGCTCAATAGGAGTTCCAAAAGTGAAATGACAATGATATGTAGCCCTAGAATCTAGAAGATATTCCTCAGTTTGCAAGAGTTTTAAGGTAATTTTAGGTGTTTACTATTTGGCTTTCGTTTTTAAGGTAGAGTTGAAATGTTTTAACTTTTGACAGAGAAAAGAAAAGGAAGTCGAACCCAGTAGCAATAGCTCAGAGAGACCCGAAGGCTATCTTAGAAGGTGAGAAAGTTAATTGTCTCCAGAATTTAGAATATGTTAAATTAGTTTGCCAGTGCTTTACATAAGCTACTAAGAAGGTATGAATGTTTGTAAATTGTACTTTGCATAATTATTCTGGAACTTCTAAAAAGTTTTAAAGGATTCTACAATTTAGTTTTGATTAATACTGTTTTTCATTTGTCCAACTATACAGCCTAACTTTACTGACCTCAGAATAAGAGGATTGGCTAAGAGGAGTGTCAGGGACAATGAATTCATTTTAGTAGTCACTAAAAAAACCTCAAGAAGAGCTTTTCTTATCAGAAAATTATTATACTTTTAAAATCAGATATTTCTAGGCTTGAAAAAAACACCTCTGATATTCTAAAATGAGTACTTCCCAGCTTTTTCAAGTTTGGATGGTGTTGGTGATCATACTGTTATGTGGATTTCTGGTTTGCTGGTAGATTGGCTACTGATAAGAGTCAAGAGATAGGTTTACAGCCAAACTATTTATTGTTTGTACTCCACAACAGATTTTTCACGTATACCACCTGGGAGACTAAGGAGGGAGTAGAGGGTGACATGCAAATCAGCATCAGGTCTTCTTGGATTTGCTCTAGGTCTCTGGTGTTTTTTCTTTCTCTCTGTAGTTCATGTAGTTTAATATTTATGTATGGTTTATGTACTTTTTTTATTGCTTTATTTGGTTTCTCTCCATCTTACTAAAACTTTGGGAATGGAATTGAACCAGTTCTTCCAGGCTCCCAGAAGATGTCAGTTGTAACATCTGTAGAAGTTCACTATCAGAAACTGTAAGCGCTTTGAAAATGGCCAGGGCTGGAAACAACATCTTAAACCTGTCAGTTACTCAAGATTGCAATTATCCAACCTGGATCTTGAGCAAGAGACAAAATATAGAGAGCCAGTAAAAGGTTTAAGTGTACTCCTTTCTGGGCTTTGTTTTCAGTGATAGCTGAAACAGCTATAGCACAACAAATGTCAGTGAGTACGTTTACATGAGATACTTCAAGCACAGTAGACTAATTCTACTGTGCATTAGCGTGGCAGAAAAAACCTATGCTGATGTGCAGTAGATCTAGTCTACTGTGCATTAATTTCACAAAAGACCATTCGTTTGTGCAAATGCGCAATAGTGCCTATAATGGCGCATTAAGTTAGTACCTCTCATTACAGGTACTAAAGTTAATGCACCATAATTACAGTGCATTAATGACCGTGTAGATGTGCCCGACCTGAACTTTTTACTTAAGACTTGGATAAAAGTGGTCCATGTCCCAAACTTTTATTTCTTGTGACAAGATTATGCATTGCATGTATTTTGATGAAGTTAATAAGCTAGCGCAGTGCTTAAGCAGAATTTAAATAGCTTGATATAGGGTGCTGACTCTTGCTAACTGTCATGACCCAAAAGGCGTGATTTTGTGTGTGCTTCGGCACCAGAATTATCCCCGCCAAGTTGCAGCTTCATTGCACGGGAGAGTTTCCTGTTGCAGAGGAAAACCCCGGTGCAGGGACGAATTTCCCACCTTTTCTGCAGCTTCTTTTGCAGAGTGCATTGCTCGAGTTGCAAGAGGAATGCCCGGTGCAAAAGAGTTCCCGCCACCAGTATGTAAATTCGTTCCCGTGATTGGCTAGTGTTAAATTATTCACACGTGGCGGCTAGCGATTGGCCTGTTAGCCGTATAAGAGGCTTGAGCGGTTTCCACCCAAGCCGAAGAGGACTCCACATCCATCTCGTGGGGACTCTGGATACACGGCAGGGTAATAGAAACCCTGTGTGAGATCCAGAGGAGCTTGGCGGCCTGATCCACCGCCCACCTCTTCCCGTCTTCGAGCGCGACTTTTATAAGACGTACCTACGATTCCTATTTTGGTGGCTCGTTCACCCAGAGCATCCGGAGCTCTGTACCGTGGAGCCTAGCAACCTCCACGAGACCGTCTGTGTTGTCTGTCTGTAACCGCAACTCAAGCAAGTTTTCCAGCCTACACCACTGCCATCTCGGTGTAAGTAAACAATCTTTAAAACTACCGATACGCGTTTGTGCCTAATTTCAGCTTGACAGCCTCCCCTCTCTGACCTGGCGTGCCCGGGCTGCTGGCCACAGCCCGCGTGCAGCACGGAAAAGGGCTCGGGTCGCTCCCGGCCCGCACACTAATAATGTAGGTCAATAAAAGAACCCTGCCAATCTGTCAAAAATAGCATTCCTACATTTGTTTTCCATTGTTTAAATAGTTATCTAAATTGATACTTACTCTTCTTGGCATTTTAAAGATTATGAACTTTTAAATACAGCATTATGTGAAGTTCATTTTTATGGAGTAGAAATTATTATCCTATTTCAGAGCTTGCAAGAAAACATGGAACTGAGGATGTAATCAGCATGACACATGTTTTTGAAGATGACCTAGCACCACGTAAGTTTAAGGCGACTACTAAAGTTTTGTTATTATGTGAAAATTGTAGAATGACAAATTAAATTCTACCTGTTATGGAAATAACCACCATTGGAATATCAGGAGGATCAGGGAATGTACAGCATAGAAATCTTTGGATTTTTTATCTGAAGAAGACAGGGCTGATGGACTAGATTGGAAAATGGCTGAAGCTGATTAGTCTGATTGGATAGTACTTGAGACAGATTGGGAATTTAGAGACTCTTCTGTAGCCCAGGCATGTAGGGATTTCCATTTCTACTTGGGTATTTTCCATTAATATTCCAGTTAAGATGTGTGTGCTATACATTTAAGAATTACTTTTTTTTTTTGTCAGCAGTAATCACTGTGGGCTGTATAAATGGGCATGTGGTATAAAGGTGGTTAGTCTCCACTCCATTGCTTCAAACTGGAGCTGCTCTCTGTTCATTTCTTAAACTATAGTAGATTCTTGTTTACTTTTTTGTGAATAATATTCCTTTTCCTAAGTCATTTTAGTATAGCTAGCTTACTTGAGCACTCATTGCCAGTATATTTCGCTAAGCTTATTTGTGTACAAAGATTCATGGTACTAGAGTTTAGAAATGGTTAATTCTAAATCTTATAGGATTAACGTGTAATGGCCATTAAGGACAAGCATTCTTGATGTTTTTTGGGGGGGAATCTCACATTCCTGCAGAATGTCCAAAATATAAATCTTTTTCTAGGAGAGATCCATCACCAAAGGTTCTGATTTGATAAATCCAAGACTGACTGACTTCTGACCCTGCTATCTATCACTCCTATACAAGGGAGTTTCCAAGAGAGCTGTAGTCATAGTATGCTAGATCCAGAGCTCTGTTTGTTAAGGCTTCAGCTGATCATTCAGGGAAGCTGGACAAAAATCTTCTGAACAGAAAGTTTACAGCCTGGAGAAAATTAGAGGCAGGTCCCTGTTAAAAGATGCCCTCAAGAAGGAAAAGGGCAGGCCTATACAAAAGGGTCTTCATGGACCAGCATGACTGTCCAGGTCTTGCAACAGGGGCTTCAGCATTGATGCCTACACGAAACAACTATTCCTGCAGTGCTTAAACTATTTCTAATGCAGGCCTCATAACTAATAACCTCTGGCAGAACTCCCCTTGTATTAATTCTGATTTGCGATTTTTCATCAACATTGAATGTACTGGATAGGGGCTACACTGGCACAATCATCTTCAGTCTTCTGGCTTCTCTATTTGTCCTAATGTACTGCTTAGTATTCGCAACCTCCATGGTACTGGGTGGCTTTTAGGTGTTGCAAGAGCCCAGATCTCCACTGCTTTCTACTATGGTCAATATTTTCAATAGATTTCATAGACATTAGGGCTGGAAGGGACCTCAGAAGATCATCGAGTCCAGCCCCCTGCCCAAGGGGCAGGAAGTCAGCTGGGGTCATAGGATCCCAGCAAGATAAGCATCCAATTTAATCTTGAAGGTGTTCAATGTAGATGCTTGAACCACCTCCGATGGCAGGCTATTCCAGACCTTGGGGGCTTGGACAGTAAGGAAATTCTTCCTTATGTCCAGCCTGAAATGGTCTTGCAGGAATTTATAACCGTTCGACCTTGTCATCCTTTGGGGTGCTCTGGTGAATAAGTGTTCTCCCAAATACTGGTGGTCACCCCTTATAAACTTATAGGTGGCCACCAGATCACCCCTCAGTCTACGCTTTTCCAAGCTAAAGAGCCCCATAGCTCTCAGCGTGTCGTCGTAAGGTCTGTTTTCCTGGCCTCTGATCATGTGCGTGGCTCTTCTCTGGACCCTCTCAAGCTTCTCCACATCCTTTTTGAATTGTGGGGCCCAAAACTGGATGCAGTACTCCAGCTGCAGCCTCACCAAGGCCGAGTACAACGGGAGAATGACGTCTC